TTACTAATAGGTATTTATAGGTTGTGGTGACGAAATAACATCAGGCGAACTGCTTCCCGAGAAAAAGACACAAAAATTATTAAAAGTTTATTTTCCTCTTCCTCTGATGGGCAGCACTGTCCCTCTTTAAACATCACCGAAGCCAAATTGATGTTACCAACACGCCTGCCAAGCATGATAACTACTGGCAAATCCCCCCAAATAGGGGGAAGCATATAGTCAGCAGTGGACAATTAATGGGCGATATCATGACGATTTTCCTCTTATAGCAAATTAAAAAAATATATAGTTTTTTTTTTTTTTATAAAGATAACTATAATTGGAAATAATAGGAAGTCGCATTTGTACCGATTGAATTCTTTATTACACTATGCGTTTTTGCTAATTTCTCCGTCGTAGCAGTCGTAGCATGTCCGTAAACACGGCTACACGTTTCAAAAATTAGATAAACTATAAATATTTATTTTGTATACATAGTCATTAGGAATATATATAGAAGAAGGAATTAGTAGAAGTAAGTAATGGGGATTAGTAGCCCTATTGCTAGCATATTGCCATGTCGGGTCGACCTCTTCGCGGTCCCCCCGGAAATGGAAATGGTGCTGAGTTTTGAGTGAATTTATCACAGTGGGAAAACTAACCTGCCTTTTCACAATCACGTGTTATCCCTCACTCAAGTATCCCGCCAGCGTATACCGTTAGCGTAGGTGGTACAATCATTCCATTATAATCCATTAAAAAATATATATATTGCAATGCAATCTCCTATAACTAATACTTTGAGCAATCTGGCAATGATAGTATTTTAATGTTCATGATTTTCAGCTTTACATATTATTTTAAGGAATTATATTTCTACACCTCATTAGCATATAATTATTATAACTAGTAGGTAATAGTATATCATTACTATACTATATTATATATATATTACTAAAATAATTACTAGGTACCTACTGCTTTCTATGGAGTTCTACTTTTCAGTGATGAATAAAAAAGTGAGAATAATAATTTTGCGTAATTATTGTTGGGAATAAACTATTTTCTTAATATATTTTTTATTTTTTCCAATGGAGTTATAACCTACAGGTTTATTTATTTATTTATATGCTTTTGTACATTCATTTACAGTAGGTATATATATTTAATTAATAAGTTAGGTATAATATGATTAAAAAATTGACCCAGTTTTTACAAAAGTGATTGCACCTAAATATATGAGTTTAAAAGAATATCGTATAGATTCTTACAGTAATAAATAGATATAGACATGAAGTATTTAACTTTAAAAATTTTATTATGATTTCACGATTATGATTTCTATTAGATAAATTTTTGTTGTTAGCATTTTTTAACATTTAATTTTTAATAAGTTTCTAATAATCACAGCGGGATAGATGGGGATGGGGGGTGATGGTAGTGGGGTGTAAAGTTGAGTGAATGGTGGGGCAAGGGGCGGGGCCAGTTCGACCGGGGTGGCGGGTGCCTACGGGTCGGCGGGGGCCGGGGAGGCGGGGTGGCGGGGTGTATGCCGACGCCGCCGCGTCTGGCACGTACATCGCGCTCATTCCGCCAGCGAACAGCGCGCCGCGAGCACGCTATCACGCTATGCGCGTACCTGCTCAGTTCGCACGCCGCGCGCGACACCACTCCCGCGCTCGTCATGTTACCACACTCTGTTGTTTTGTGCCATCAGTTAGTTTGTGAACAAGTGCAGTTCCATCTGTTCCCGAAGCGCTGACCGTGCGCTCGGATCGCTCGCGAGAATATCGCGGATTTTGCGTGCCCGTCGACGTTGGATGCGTTAAAATTTCGGGTGAGTGAGAGAGGCGAGCGGTCGTGCGCCCGCGGCCGGTTTGACCGCATTATTTTCGAAATACGTACGCCGCGATCCGGTCGACCGCGCTAGAACGATCAAAACATAACAACAACATATAAATTCGGCGACGTTCGTACCATCACAACTATGACTAGATGAACACACCTATCTACTCCATTCTCCACGCCATATTCATTCGTTAGACTCCCTGAACTAGTACCTATCTCATGATAGTTCAGGTTTAGTGTGAGAAGTACATAATATACATGATTGTAGTGCCTTATTGTCAACAGAGAGTGCTTACAACCAATTGAGAAGTTTCATGTAATTAACGTGTTAGTTCGCGGCGCATCCCGTTGATGTCTTTTACTGAACGCTTTTGGAAAGTGTTCGATCGAGAAATCTATATTTGCATTACATGTTTATGTAACTTAACTGTTTCGTTTCATATTATAATCGAAAGATTCCTATTTACCATATTTTTTATTATTTTTTTTACCATAAATGCATTTTTGTGATGATATGCGTTTTCACAAATTGTATTTTTAAGAACTCGAATGTTTTGAGTAAAATTTACATAAATCAAAAGATTAACTTTCAACCTCGTTTTATTCATTTATTTATATCTGAAAATAATAATAATATGAAGTTAAAAATAAAATATTTCTATAGTGTAAGTAGATACGTGTGAAATTTTTAATATATTTATTTAACACACGCTAATGACTGAAACGGCACTTTCAGTAAGTTTGAACAAAATATAAACCTATATTTACCATCACCATTACAATTTATCAAACAATAACATCATATTTTAAGCAAAGAACTTTTTCTTCCATAAAACAGTTAGTTCCACTAATGGACAACATTACATATGTCTATCTATTGATTCAATCTGTTACTTAATTTTTTTTTCTACAAACATTTTTTTTTATTATAGATTGTAACAATTTTTGAATACTAAGCAAAGAAATATTAAAAATACATAGGGAGGAAATATGTTTTTAATTGAATTTTGTACTATGGTAATGTACCAAAACTGCATGAAAATATGCATCTAATTGAAGAGATTGATGTCTAAGATACAAGTTGGGCTTAGTTTTGACACTAATGTACTGCGCAAAATGTTACATTTTACACTTGTATATTAAACTTGGAAATTACTATATAGCATATAATATTTCTCATATTTTTTTTACATTTGTACACCTAATGTGTTTCACACCACTATGTAATTCGTTCAACGATAAGATAATGATAAAGTTCATTAGTAAAGCTACGAGTGTCTACTTTTCTTTTGATTTCTGGCTGTAATTTCATTTTTATACAAGTAGTATAGAACTATTAGCTACAAATAACTACAAAATAAGAAATTGATGTTTAATTGTAATAAATTACACAAGACATGAATACGAATTTCTAAACGTAAACAAGACAATCATAAAATCTCATGTGTTTGATTGTTATATCATTCCTCAATTAATGACGCTGATGTTTTACGAGCATAATTGATTTGTATAGCAAATTTTTCATTTATTTTGTATCAGAAAACAAAACAAAATAGTGAAAAATATATGTAAATTCAATACAATAAGCTTACCTTATTGCACTTATATAATTGTATAGTTACATTTATTAGTTGTCTTGTTTTATTCCCTATGTTGTATAATGTAAATAAAGCAATACTGATTCGCATCTTTTCCTACAATTTTGCTTTGAATACATTTTGGACACGTTTTTTTTTTAATATAAACGTTACGCTTAAGTACAGTGTACATTAACTATGCCCAGAATCCATATATTCTTGAATTAACTACTTTATTTGAATTTTTTAATACAAAGAAGCCTTTTCTTGTAATTATAAGCATAAATTTTTTAAATAAAATATAAAAATATCTATGTCTGACCAACGTGGTAAACTCATGTCGAATAGTGAAACGTTAATCGGTTATGATATTACAAAATTTCACCTATTTGAATAAATAAATATCAGGTAGATTATATAGATATTGGCAATTTTAAGAACTTACAATTTTCATTGTATGAAATGTACTTCAATAATAATGTTAATTTAATTATTAGTTATTAGTTTAATTTAATAATTTGTTAGTCCCTAATTGTACTTTTAAATTGGCTTTTATATTAATTTTATAAATATAGTTGATAAATATCTTTTATCTAGTTCGGTAAAAATATTTGTGCTATACTTAGAAAATCGATATTTTTATCTAGCGTAACGGATCCACTACAGCTAAAAGGGATCTTGGATATATAATGGGTTCCATGCGGGCGAATCTGCAACTTATCGTATAAGTATTATTATACTACATACACGTTTCAATCTAAAAATACAAATTTATTATATTGTAGTAGTTTTATATAATTTATTAAACTTTTTTACGTGTTATTAATTAGTTAATTAATTTTAAATAAAATATAATAATAAAAAAACGCTAATAAGAATAGTAGTGCGACAATCATTAGCATCGCTCAGTGTACGCCTTCCGCATAAAAACTTCCTAATTACGCGTAATGGCTACAACTTAGTATTGTACACCAAGTGCTGCAGTGCTGCGATGTATTCATTAGAAATACGCCATGTTACGAGATAAAACACTACCGGTCGCGGACAATGTCAGCATTGTCATATTACTTAATATTTTATTTATAATTTACAGTTCTCTCGGAAATTCTGTTTGTAGATATAGTCAACTACCATGTTCAAGTAAGAGATTACGCGTTATACCTACAATTACTAATTCTCAATTGAATGAATGAAGTTATGTAAACAATTATAGGCGATGATTGTCTCGTACTGATATAGATTATATTTTCATAAGTAGTTTTCAGATGTTTTTCAATTACTTGTGAATATTAATTTAAAAACTCTTTTTTATGTTTTATTGTAGGTTTAGTTTTAAATACAGTTTTTAATGTTTTAGTTTAGTTTTAATTTTAAATATTTCCTTAAAAATAAAATAATAACATTTTATTTGGTCAGAATTTAGAAATTTATTTTACCTGTCAATCTGCAATTGGTGAAAATTTATTAAAAATCTTTCGTTATATTTATATTTACTGATACTTATTTTAAACATTGTTATAGTTTTTCATTATTGAATTTATTATTTATAGATTAATGAGAAAGTCTATTTATAAATATAATTGTCTATCGTTACAGGTGGGTCGAGGAGAATTATGCGTGGGGCGTGCGCGTGCGCAGTGGTGTGCGCGTTGGTGGCGCTTTGCGCGGCCTCGGGGCTCGACGAAGAGACGCGCTCCGCCGCCGAGCGGCAGCTGCTCGCGCTGCTGGGTATGCCACGGCGGCCCGCCCGTAGTGCTGCCACGCCGCCACCTGTGCCCCGCGCCATGCGCCTGCTGTACGAGGCGCAAGGTGCCATGCCGGCCGCCGCCGCTAACACGGCCCGCTCATATCACCACACTCCCACCGATATCGACGTGCGCTTCCCCAACGAGCATCGGTTTCGGCTCTTCTTCAATTTGAGCGCTGTGCCCGCTGACGAGATAGCACGCGGTGCCGACGTCACCTTTCAGCGCGCTTCCGGCGCAACGAGTGATCAGCGACTTTTGTTATATGACATAGTAAGGCCCGGACGTCGCGGTCAGAGTGCTCCTATATTGCGGTTATTAGACTCTAAACCACTTAGGCCCGCCAAGGGCACTGTTACTACGGACGCTATAGGTGCTGTGCGACGATGGCTAAGCGAGCCTGAACACAATCATGGACTATTAGTGCGTGTCATAGAAGAAGATGCGCACGGTACAGATGCGCGAGTGCCACATGTTAGAGTGCGGAGACGTGCGTCTGAGAACGAAGAAGAATGGCGTGCTATGCAGCCACTACTACTCCTATATACAGAAGACGGTCGAGCGAGAGCCGCTCGGGAACTTGGAGAAACGCGGCTAACGAGAAACAAGCGCGCAGCCCAGAGAAAAGGGCACCGTGCGCACCATCGCCGCAAAGAAGCTCGAGAAATCTGCCAGCGGCGACCGTTGTATGTGGATTTTGCAGAAGTAGGATGGAGCGATTGGATTGTCGCACCTCATGGGTACGACGCGTATTACTGTCAGGGTGATTGCCCATTCCCGCTTGCGGACCATTTAAACGGTACGAATCACGCGATCGTACAAACTCTTGTGAATTCGGTGAATCCGGCAGCGGTGCCTAAAGCGTGTTGCGTGCCGACGCAACTCGCCCCTATTTCCATGCTATACATGGATGAAGCGAACAATGTGGTGCTCAAAAATTATCAGGACATGATGGTTGTGGGTTGTGGTTGTCGATGACGAAGGCGCCCCCCACGCCGGTGCGGACCTAATGATATCGTGGACCCAGTGTATATATAGTAGTGGCCTCGAAAATTGTACATATCTTTTTGTGTATATAATCGTGTAATTACTATTTTATTGAAACGAAAATATAATAAAACATTTAATTTGAAAAGTAAAGTTTTTTCAATAATTTATTCAGTGTGTTATTTCTAACCAATTTCAACTAGATAAAAGCAGTCCAGTAATAAGCAATGAAATCCAAACCCGCCATTTTTAGTTATTAATATCTGTTTGTGTGTTTGTTACGTCATCGCGAGAAAAAGGCTAACCAGTTTTCTAAGCAATTTCATAATTGAATAGGTATTAGTAGGTAGCCCAACTTAAGAAGTGGTGTAACGTTTTATAAGAATAGGTTGAGTGAATAATGAGATAAGTACAGTTTGATCCCTTCTCCACCCATTGTAGCAAAAGATCTTTTGCCTTTGTTAATTAAATGCTAGAGTTAATGAAAAAATCCTCTAAACAGTTTTAGTATCAGATGGACTATTTATTACAGGTAAATTTATTTACTTTCACAGTCTGTAATAGACTAGATATATTATCATGTATTATTTCATATATCATGTACATTAAAATCTGTTTAAAAAATAGCAAGCTCAAAAAGGAAGACATTCTCAGATCACCGGTATTTTTATTGTTACCCAATATGTTTATCAATTTAAAACCAATTTTGATAATTTTTTTCACAATGGATAAGATTTAATCCAATGATAGATGGATAGATAGATACTTTTTTTTGTTTTTCCCAAAAAATTAAACAAAAATAGTGTCAAACTAATTTTGTCACGATCAAAGTTACTGTTTATTGCAGAGCAAAATCTTATACTGCCTTTAATCAACAAAAGGTTTAAATAGGTTTGGATAAAAAATTCTAATGAGACCGATACATTTTTCTAGTTCGAAATGTGTGTTGTGATGTGAGTGCGTTACCTATGCCTGTAGGAAAATTGCTTTCAACATTAGGTTACCTATGATTTTTATACTATAAAATTATTATAAAACAAACATTTGGTTTTGTAATCAAAGTAAAGACATCTTCATCATACATCATCACACCAGCGATTAACTGTTTACTGCTAAACATAGGGATCCCTCGTAAAGATGGGTTTTGTCAGCAGTTGTCACGCTTGTCAACCGTAAGCGGGCTGGTAACCGCAGTTAAGATTTGGGGATGTATTAATAGAAACGTTGCTGCTCATCTTTGGATGATTAAGATCCCTTAGTTACATCACTCACGGGAAAGAAAGGAGTGGTCCGTACTATGTTTGGACCACACGGCAAAGGACAATAAATAAGTTAACTTAAGGTGAAATCGCAATCGTAAGCCCTACGTAGAACTAAAAATCTACTCATGGTATAGAATATATTAGAACTGAAATTTCGTGAAACAAAACATTTAAAAATAATAAAAAAAAAAATTGAATATCCCAACTAAACTAATATTATAAAGAGACAAGATCTAATGTTTGTTTGTAATGGATAAACTAGAAAAATACACGTAGTGTACCGATATTAGAAAAAGAAGCGAGTAACATGAGTTGTATCTTTTTGATCTTTCTACTTATCTACATATGTGAAGCTGGGGCAGGTCACTAATATTAACTTCATATGAAGCTAAACGTGCGGTCTTAGTACGAGAGACTTAAACATTTTTGTTGTTTGTTGATCCATGTGTTTTTAATGAAAATATTCAGTTATACTGGTTAAACACACCCTTAAAATGATGCCAATAATTTCACCTTGTATAATTTGTTGCTTCTTAACAAATTTAAATATGGTATATACGTAATATTTAGGATAGCGAAGGAGAGGATGGTTAGCTTACGTATATTATTTTAAACAAATTAAAGCGCGCTGTGTTGCAAGTAATAAATAGTATAATATTTTGGTATATTTATTTATAATTTGTTTAAAAGACTAAAAAAAGTTACTTTTTTTAAGCGTTTATATAAAGATGCTATGATATATGAGAAAGGAATAGGTGACTTTTAATCCCAATAAAGCAGACGAATTTAGGAACACAGTACAGATAAAAAAAAATTAAAAGTTACTCTACTGTTATTTAGTATTACAGTGAATTAACACTTACAAAGTAACACATTGTTTTTCTACTAACCATTATTTACAAGAGATGTTATTATATCTTTACTTATATTTAGAAATTTTAACACAAACAACAAAAGATATAATAACATTGATGGTATTTGTAGAAGCGAACTACATACCGAATTGTAAATAATAGAAACAATAACAAACAATAACCATTACTTTGTTCATATAATAAGTAGGTATTTGATTTATCTCAATTTTAGTAATAGGTATTAAAAACATTATTACGTTACGTTACGTCATTTTTCTTGTTCTTCTCTTCTTGGTCTCCAGTAGAATAGACAATTTAGACAATATTGTTGTCGAGGTTATTTTTTACGTAACAACTTAAAAATAATAAACGTTTGATCCATAATATGAGTAGTAATAAATAATAAAAATAAGAATTAGAACTTATTGGTTATTATATTCCGTGACATTGCGCGTATTAGTTAAAATAAAAAGAGGTCTAGATAACTAACGAAATTTAGTGGAAAGACATCCTGAATATGGATCCAGAATATCGTCGATCAGATTAAACATTACATCTAGATGTTATTAACCAACTACCTGTTTTAAGTGATTTTATTTTAGAACAGAAATTGTAGGTATTTACTGTGTTTTAATTTAGGATACAACCTAAACGTATACCAAATTTCATTCAATTCCGTTTAGCCGATTAGGCGTGATTAAGTAACAAACATCTACACAAACTTGCATATTCATAATACTAGCTAGTAGCTATTTAATTATGACCATCGAATGGTTACCGGATATGCAGAGAGGTCGTATTTGACCCTGTAGTCAAAATAACATTTAGCCTTTGTGCTGCTAACTGGGTCGCTCGGTATGTCACATCACCGTCGGCACAAGGTCGACGGTAAATGAACTCGATGAATGAATGAAGTCATATTAATTTCTTACATTACATATAAGATTGTATACTTAGTTGACACAGGGACAGAAATCCTGTAGTTAAGCTATAAATTGGCAAATCCTGTGTTTAAGGGTTTTATTTTAAAATAGTTGTTTTTCGTAGATAAAGAGGACTTTACGAATCAAGTAATTGAGTTAGAGATTATTTGAATCATTCATAGGACAGGATTTTTATTTAGTAAAAATAATTCATTATTTACTTTTCAACGTAGCTGTAACATCTATTTAGATTAAAGTGAATTAAAATATACTTCTAGCAAAACTATAATAATTTCACTTCCAGGAAACAAAATATATTACATCTATATCATAATTTCTTTTTCTTTTTAAATAATTATTACAATAAAAAGTTTGTTTGTAATCTAATCACATTAACACTGTTCTTAACAAATGGTGCTGATATAATTTAGTTTCTATGATTTAGATATTTTTATGGTTCAGATATCTTTAAGGTTAGTACAGCCATTATCTAAATATCCAAATAAACAACAAAAAAGTAGCAATGTTTAGTTATTCAAAAAGTCCAAGAATGTTGTAATATCTACACAATGTAAGATCAGTATAAAGATAAGGCAGTGAAGATGAACGGCGCGTAAAAAATAATCAAGGATTCTTTGGATTTTTCCACGGAGTTAAGATGTTAATTACAATAGCTATATGACTCTGTATAAATACCAATTAAAGATAAGAGAAAGTGTAACGTATTTCGAATATAAGTTTGTATGACTTATTAAATGTCGATTATCTTTCTTAAATTTTATTATCCTTAAGTGAAAAACCTCCGAAAGCATTATATTTGGAATTTGGAAGTAAATATAATGTTTTTCTTGCATTTAAGATATTTTTATTAGAAATTTTTCAATTACACAGTCACTATCTGTTGAAATATAATTTTCATATATCAATAATAATTCTATTAAGTTTTATTTATTTTTTAATCTTTTTGAAAGTGAAAATCAGATTCCAATAATTTTCTAATATTATTCTTATATGGAGTAAATAAAATATATTTAAATGACTTTAAACTCTTTCGACTCTCTTTTTTATAGTTTCAAGCGAAATTAAAAGTTAAAATATATATTTATTTTTCAAATTATATGTTATTAATTAATACATGAAATTGATAACATAACATCATTACTGTAATACATAACATATTTTTTTCAAAAAGTATAAATAAAATTAATACAAGATTGTAAATTTTAATTATTACTAAATATAACAGATGATTAAGTACCAAAGAATTTGTACGTTAAAATGAGTTATTACAGAGGACACAAACGTAGAAAAAGGTTTTTAGATAAACCAACTTTTTCTATGCCTCTGTAACCAGAAAAATATCAAAGTAGCAATCTATTGTACTTAATGACGAATACGTTAATAGACTAATATTATAGTTATGACATCAAAATATAAATTGACATTTTATCCATTCATAATTCTTTTGTTGTAAACTTAACTTATATTTGAAAAAAGCAATAGCTGTGTTTCTTGCCCGTTTTTCTCAGCTGAAATTGCATTTCGAACTGGGCGGTAGTTTATAAAAAGTGACTGTTCAAAAATGCTTATTATTAAGTTTGCTTGAATAAAAATTATTTATTTTTATTATTGATTATTATTAACTCTCGTTAATGCTTGTTTCTGTAAGTACGAGTACATACTTATGCCATAAACTATTATCATTGATTACGTAGGTACATTATTACATATTCCTAATTCTTTTACCAAAGCGAGTTCTGATATACTTCATTGTTATTGCACTTAAATGTTCCAGACGGTATATAGATATATCTACTGTAATAGTAAAACATAAAAATGAAGAGATCCGTATGAACAAACAGGTACTTTCCAATAAGATAGATTAAAGGATGTGAACATCCTTTTATTTATAAAAAATTCTGTCTAAAAATTTTCTATATCATGACATGGCAAGAATATACTGTGTCACCACTCTTTTATATCCAGGATTACGTAAAAGACAACTAAGGGGATAGTAGTAGATGATACTGTTGTTGGAGATGAGTGGTTATGTCTAGTTGACTGTGAAGAAGTTTCGATTTCGCAGCTCTTATCCTTTAAATAGTCCAACACAGCCTGACGTGCAAAACTT